TGGGAGTATAGGTATCTTTGTGACACAGTGATTTTTTTCACTTTGTATAAATACCCGTAAGTGGAGTCACTGGATCACTAGATCACAACAGCAGTTCTATTTTTTTAATTTTTTTGGAGGAACCTCTGTACTGTTTTCTACAGTGGTTGCAACAATCTGTATTCCCACCAACTGTGAGATTAGCCTTGGTAATATGGATGGGCCTCAGCCAATCAGTTGAAAGGCCTTAGGAGCAAATCTGAGGTTTCCCTGAGGAAGAGGAAGTCCTGCGTGTGGTCTCAGTGTCACCTCCTGCCCTACCATTTCCAGTCTGCCACCCTGCCCTGTGGATTTCAGATTTGCCCAACCAGCCCTGACACTTGTGTAAGCCAATTCCTTGCAGTAAATCTCTCACAGAGACATATAGATATATTTAAATCTTTCTGGCTCTGGGGCGCCTGGGTGGCTTAGTCAGTTAAGCGTCCGACTTTCGCTCAGGTCATGATCTCGCGGTTCGTGGGTTCGAGCCCCGCGTCGGGCTCTGTGCTGACTGCCAGCTCAGAGCCTGGAGCCTGTTTCAGTCTGTGACTCCCTCTCTCTCTGACCCTCCCCTCCTCATGCTGTGTCTCTCTCTCTCTCCTAGAAATAAATAAAAACATTTAAAAAAAATAAATCTTTCTGGCTCTGTTTCTTTGATAGAACTCTAGCTGGCTTTGACCCGGCTGCTGGGTCAGCCAGAGCCCGGTCAGTCTATGATGGCCTCGCTGGGATGAGTGGACCTCTGCTCCACACGGTCTTTCATCCTGAGGCAGGCTGGCCCAGGCTTCTCTTCATGGCAATGGCAGGGGACCAAGGGAGGACACAGAAGCATGCAGACTTCTGGAAGTAGAGCCCAGGAAGTGGCACACTATCTTCTCTTCCTCATTCTGATGGCTGGAGCAAGTCATAAAACTGGCCCGTGTTCCAAGGTGGGAGAAAAGACTCCCTTCTTGATGAAGGCATCTACAACATGACCTTGTAAGGGGCATGCATGCAAAGAAGAGTGAAAATTTGAGGCTGCAGCTGCCATTAATTTGTCACAGACTGTTTGATACAATGGTGCAGAAAAAGACAAACATCAAACCTTTTTCTCTAACCACGAGTATGCCTTTTCCCACTCGTTAAGGCAGGTAAAACTACAAGTTAAAATATTTAGAGCCCTTCATTTTCTTACTTAAAAGTGGGCGATAGTAAAGCCTACCTCATGGTATTTGCATGAGAATAATGAGATTTCTGTGACAGCATCAGTTGTAGTGGCTGGAAGGAGCTCAGCAAATGATGCTTCCCTTTGCCAGCAACCCTTGAGCACCTACTGCGCACAAGAAAAAAGAAGGCAACACATATTTGAGGCACAGGACTCGAGATTGAAATTAATTGTTTTTTTTGTAGGATCAATATACATTGGTAAAAAGTATTCTCAATACAAAATAATTACTTGACAGATATCTTAGTCTATATGTGGTTAATTCCAATTAGCTTTTGCATTTGCAGGGGGAAAAAAAAACCTTATGGATACAAACATAATCCAATTCGCATAACTTTTCATGATTTTGAATTTTCCTAATTAATGACACATTTATAAACTATGTATTTTTTTAATATTTATTTATTTATTTATTTATTTATTATTTTTGAGAGACAGAGCATGAGTGGGGGAGGAGCAGAGAGAGGGGGAGATGCAAAATCCAAAGCAGGTTTCAGGCTCTGGGCCATCAGCACAGAGCCCGGTGCAGGGCTTGAACCCACGTACTATAAGATCATGACCTGAGCTGAAATCGGATGCTCAACTGACTCAGCCACCCACGTGCCCCTATGCTATGTATATTTTTAAGTCTATGCTCAGGTTTAGGACTCAGATAGACCTGAATTCGAATCCCAGCTCACACTTTTTTTTCACTCCAATACACAGGCAGACTTCCACAATCCCTAAAACAGAGCTTCAAATATGTATAATGAAGATATCATCACCTGCTTCCGTAAGCTTCTAGTGAACAAATTAAATGAGATAATACCCAATAAGTGTAGTTATGATTATAGCCAATATAAGAAATACTATTTCAGGATTTAGAATGCACTGAAATGCCTTTTTTGTTCAGTCGTCTCAACGGCCTGCTTAATTCACTTGCTCACACTTTTCCCTGAAAAAAGAAAACAACTGTGACAACAGCAACTTTTACTGCATCAGCTTGCTGGGATGTGTAGAGACTCAACTTCTGTGACTGTGTAGAGTAGTCTGGAGGCTCATCTGTGAACCATCAAACTTGCACATCTTACAGTCTATCCCTGAAGACAGTCAGTGCAAGTAAGAATGACCACACAGGCCAGTATGAAGTAAACAACCCACAACAAATTAAATCAACATTAATGAAGATTAAGTGATCATAATTTATAATGAAAAACAAGAACAGCAGCGAGAAAGCACCTTTCCTGAAAATGTAAGATTGCCAGTTTTAACACATGTTAAGCCCTGCTTGACAACAGTCCTACATTTGGCATAAGTAGTCAGGAACAAAATGTGTTTTACGTTGGCTTTCACACTGAACATTTCCAGACCTTGTATAGCAACCAGATTCTTAGAATATTGAATTGGAGTCCCCCAAAAGCTCAAAAAATATGCTGATTTTAGGTTTGGATTCCAAATAGTCTTAGCCTTTAATAACTCATTTATTGGAATACTAGTAAGTGCCTTCAAGTATAAGCAAAAAGTGAAATTCTATATATGCAAGCCTTTTTTTTTTTTTTTTACCCAAGAAAATATCTTGCAATTGTGGATAAGTTCAACAGGATTCAGTGAAGTTGCTTGCACCTGCTGATGACCTGTCTAAACCTGGGTTAAACAATTTTTAACTGTAGTCTGGAGGTAGATGGTTCCAGGGCACGTCCAGTGGTATACTGACCCCACACAGGGCCATACCGTTTCCCTCTTTCCCAGACTGTTGCCCCCTGTCTGTGAGCTTTGCCTCCCTTCAAGGTCTCAAGGCGGCAAGGGCAGCTCCAAGCATCCTGTCCTCACATGATCATTTGCAAAAATAGAATGGATGGGTGACGCCGATTCTCCCCATGTTCATCTTTCTTTCTTTTAATAGGAAGGAACTCTGTCCTCCGAATCCCAGAGACTTGCTTTCCACATCCTGCTGGCCCAGATTTGGTCACAACCCTATGCCCATAAGGCAGAGGGTAGAAAAGCAAGGATCTGACATCTTTGGCATCCGAAGAGGCAGGTGGCTCTGCCTGCAAAAAAGTGGGCCATTGGGTAGGCATCTAAGAGTGTCTGCCAATGGGGGGGGGGTGGAGGTGGAAGGGGGAGAGGAGGTGGCCCTAGCAGCCTTCTGGAACCACCTATTTCACTCCCACCAATAGTAGCTTCATTCTTCTCTTTTAGATATTAGGCTTCCATATGAGATTCTGTTTCAACAAAAGCCCCCATGGATAAAAATCATTTACAACCCTTTGTTTTAACACATGCTCAAATACCTAATATACTCAGTTTGCTCACAATTATTTTTCTAGCATCTAGAACCTTTCCCAGCACATAGGAGGAGCTTGAGTTAATTCCCTAGTGTTGCCCTAACAAATTACCACAAACTTCATGGATAAAAATAACACAAATGTATGATCTTACGGTTCTGAAAGTCAGAAGTCCTAAATGGATTTCACCCAGCTAAAATCAAGGTTTCAGCAAGATCTCATTCCTCCTCAACTCGGGTCTACAGGTTGTTTCTAGTGGGAAGAACACCTCTTTTGACCTGCTTCTTTGCTTCACCTCCAACCTGGATGTCATCATTAGTTTCTCCTTTGCTCTATGTTCCGTAGCCACCAACTAACCCTGTCTCACTGCCCACTCAGCCTTACCCTCTAGAACACCTGGGAGTTGGACATGGACATTCAAGTTGGGAAATAATGAAAGTGAGAGACATGGGACAAGGTCAGAGCTGGACTCTAGATTTCAGGGTGGTCCTTGGGAAGCTTTTTGCTGCATCTGTCATAGTGATAATCAAAAAGTGCTTCAGACTGAAGAGACAGGCATTGGGGTACACCCGTGATGAGCAAAGAACTCAGAGGAATTGAGGAGGAATCATCAAAGAGTCCTCTGATCTCTCCACTTGCTCACTCTACCCCAGTCTTGCTTTCTTTTTAAAGAAAGAAGGTGAGACAAAGAGTGACTCCTCCGGATGATATTTTTCTCCCTGAAAAACACATGAATGCATATGTAGTATTTTTTTATTTTTTTTAAGTGTATTTATTTATTTTGCGAGAAAGAGAGAGCATAAACAGGGGAGAGGCAGAGCAAGAAGGAGAGGATCCCAAGCAGGCTCTGTACTGTCAGCACAGAGCCCAATGCGGAGTTCAGACTCACAAACCGTGAGATCATGACCTGAGCCAAAGTCGGACACTTAACCAACTGAGCCACCCAGGACCACAGCCACATTAACTTTAAATGAGAGGAAATCAGAATGGAAATGTTGCTGCTTCCTTTAGAGCAGCAGCCTGACAAAGCCCTGCTTAAGCACATGCTGCATTTGGCGTGTGAAGACAAGATCAAAGTGTGTCTTACATTGTCTTCTAGCAGTGAGATGAAAACAGAAAGTTGTAGGAAATCATCAGGAAAAACTTTTTCTTTAAACTTTTTTACTAGAGGGGCGCCTGGGTAGCTCAGTAGGTTAAGTGTCTGACTCTTGATTTCGGCTCTGATAATGATCTCACAATTTGTAAGATCAAGCCCCTCGTCCGGCTCTATGCCAACAGAGTGGAACCTGCTTGGGATTCTCAATCTCTCTCTCTCTCTCTCTCTCTCTCTTTGCCTCCCCCACTCATGCTCTTTTTCTTTCTCTCAATAAATAAGAAACATTTTTAAAAACCTTTAAAATAAAATTTTTATTAGAGACAACATTTCGATTTATACATAAAAGAAGAAAAACATTCCTTCTAGAGAGCTAAATCTGTAAACCACTATTTAAAGTAGTTCATGTAGAGAACCTACAATTTAATAAGACTGGGAAAAGGTTAGCCTAACATCCCCTATATTTTTTTATCCCTGTTTACTCAATTATACAAGTACTTCCACAACAAGAAGGCCTCTAATTGTGTATACTTCAGTGAGAGAGAAATGAGACTTGCCATAAAATAAATTCTTGGGTGTAACTAAATTACACAGCACTCTCCATACTTTTTTTTCCAAATTGCCCATTACTTTAAATGAAAACATGCTTTAGGAAAGAACTGTAAACACTCAAAGTGCTTCTCAAGGACCAGTCTCTCTTCTTCCTGCTGATAAAATGCAGTTATGTTTCTATTTTCCAATACTCTCCTGCAGAAGATCCAAGGAATCTCAAAACTATATTCACAGCTAACCAGTAAACTTGAGGACTTCACTTTCACATCGCTTGGTCAACATGACCCGGCTTCAGTCCATCTTTTAGCAAAGGAATCCACCTTTCTCCGTCTTCATAGGACACCATGAGCATTCACTTCACTGGTGTAGTGCAGTCACTTGATACGCTCTGTGCTCTACATCACGCACAGACAGGATGTCACGCTCCATCAAGGGCTGCAGAAGAGACATCAGGACCCAGGCATGGGAACCAGGCGAGTGCACCAGCTGGTGCATCCTGCCCGGTCACATAGCTTGCTGAGCCGGAGTTTCCTCATCTCAGCAATAGGAAGTCTCAAACATGCCCACTCCTAGTGTCTTCTGGGGATTGGATGACATCATTCACATTAAAAACACTCTAAACACTAGCAAATAGCAATTCCAATAACTGTTTTTTAAAATTGTTTACTCAAGAGGCACCTGGGTGGCTCAGTCGGTTAGGTATCTAATTTCAGCTCAGGTCATGATTCCACAGTTTGTGGGTTCAAGCCCTGCATTGGGCTCTGTGCTGACAGCTCAGAGCCTGGAGCCTGCTTCAGATTCTGTGTCTTCCTCTCTCTCTGCCCCTCCCCCGCTTGTGCTTTGTCTCTCACTCTCTCTCTCTCTCTCAAAAGTAATAAGTAAACATTTTTTAAAATTTTAATTGTTTACTCAAGGTGTTTGCTGTTTTTTGGGTTTGTTTTTGTTTTTGTTTTAATATTTTTATTTATTTCTAGGAGAGAGAGACACTGTGAGCAGGGGAGGGTCAGAGAGAGAGGGAGATACAGGCTCTGAAACAGGCTCCAGGCTCTGAGCTGGCAGTCAGCACAGAGCCCGACGCGGGGCTTGAACCACGAACCGCGAGATCATGACCTAAGCGAAAGTCGGACGCTTAACCGACTAAGCCACCCAGGTGCCCCTGCTGTTTTTTGTTTTTTAATAAAAGAGATTCCCAGAGTGTTATTTTCAGGTTATGAGATGGTGAAATAGCCTGGCATTGTTTGGGTTGTTCTTTTTTTAATTATTATTTCTTCTTGTTAAGATTCTGCTTCTCAATGAAGATGACCACTTCTAAGAATTACAGACATTTTGTGCCTCAAACCCATCCCCACCTTCCTGTTGTTGCTTTTTAGAACCAGTGATCGAGGCATTAGGATCAGTTTAAATAGAAACCTAGGAAAATCCTCATGCTAGCATTTCACGGTCCCTGATTCTTCCAGAACTGCTTAGTACTGAGTGAGGTAAGAAAAAATTAGAAAAGACTGCTCCTCACATTCATTTCAGAAACTAGAGAATCTCTTTGAAATTCATTGTTTTGAATCTTGAAGTTGATCTCTGTGCTTAGTGTCAGAGAAAGAAAATAGTCTTTTCTTGGCAGCTTTTGTGAATTTTAGGACAAGAAATTCATCTTGGCTGTGACATGCTGTTGTTAAATAAAGCCTCTGCCTCATAATTCCATCTGAAGCTGTATACATTTTTATACCATGAAATATACACACAGTTTAATACAAACGGGAACTAGGAAGATAGCCCAAAAATGCTCTACTATTACCTCCTTCCTGGGAGAGCTATCGTTTTATGGTCCCCAAAAAGATTTTTATATATTTATTTTTAAATATTTTTTTATTAATTTCAAATAACTATTGCTTTAAACATTTTTAAATATGTATTTATTTTTGAGAGAGAGACAGAGCGCAGGTGGGGGATGGGCAGAGAGAGAGAGGGAAACCGAATCCGGAGCAGGCTCCAGGCTCTGAGCTGTCAGCACAGAGCCCGATGCAGGGCTTGAACCCATGAACCATGAGATCATGAGCTGAGCCAAAGTCAGACACTTAACTGACTGAGCCACCCAGGTGCCCCTACACTGTCTATATAAGGAGGAGCAGTAAAAATATCTTGACTATATGATCTCACCTCTTACCTCACCAGTAAGAGGCTGCTGATAAAGAAACATAGGTTGGTAGCAGAGCACTGAGGGCAGCATTGGACGCTCAGACACATCCCCACACACGCTGCACAGAATGGGTCCTGCAGGCAGGCGCATACACCAGGCTGCAATCAAAGCAGATAGAAGAATGTAATATTTTATGATTGGTGAACCCATCCTGGAGGCTGTGTTGCTCTATTTTTCTCTCTTCCCCCAAAATTTGAATAGTTCAAAGAATTGAGAGTGACAAGACATTTATATCATAAGGTGGTGATCATAGGAGCCCCAGTCCTAAAGGAAAACATATATGCACGTCAACTAGCTGTTCTTCCTACAAAGGATACCAAACTCTAGCCTCGCAAAAACAGTTCCTTGCCCACACTTCCACACAGGGAAATAAAGTTGAATGCAACTTGCTTTTGCTCTCCTATGGCTCTGGCCTGACTGGAGACTGAGAGATATAGACCAAAGCATATCTATAGTCCAAACCCAGTTTCCCATAGAGCCACAAGTCCTGTCTTGAGGTTCTAGCTGTGTCACTGCAACAGGATTTTTTTTTAAATTTCTCCCCTTCAGTTACCAACATTCTATCATAAATACAGCACAAGAAGATATGGCAACCTGAACTTGCTTTTGTGTGTTAGTGGTTTCTCTGCAGCTTTCCCCATCTTCACGAGCATTAATTACCTCATTGCAGGCTGTGTTTTGGCTCCATATGTGTGAGTCATAATTGGCACTTACATAAAATATGCACCAATATTAGTTCCATTTCTGTCAGTTTGTTCAGATTTGGTATTCTGCTTTATGCCCCCCCAACCTAATTTATTACTGTGGAAAGTCATCTATGTCTCATTGTACCCGTAAAGCTCAACCTCACAATTCAGACTTACAGGTGTCAGAAGCTGACTAGATGGGGCACAACACAATGAAAGACCGCAACACCAAGAAGCAGCCATGGGCTCTCAGGGTAGAAGTTGGTAGTTAATGGGTTGTGCTTTCTCAAAGTGTGCCTCACTGCAGATGCAGCCACAGATTATTAGCTATTTCTGAAATAAGCCTGTATAACATTCTGCTTCTTATATAATTGACATTCTGAATTAATACCTTTTATGAAGAACATACCTTTAAAAGAAAGAGATAAGACTTGGAGCTTCCAGGGCTTTTATGGGATCTTTTTCACCAAAACAAAACCAGAAGTGTTTGCCTCTCATTAGTTGTGTGTGTGTGTGTGTGTGTGTGTGTTGTTAAGATGCCAGATTAATTTTATTTATAAAAAAATTCACATGGGAATCATGAGGTTTATTGAGCATCACAGGAAAAATAACACCCCCAGGTCAAATATCCTATTTACCTGGGCTTTCATGTGAGTGAATGTAGTGCAACCCATTCCTGGCTCCACTCTGCCCCAAACACCCGTTCACTATCGGGGCTTTAATGGAAGTAAGGAGGGGGCTCATATGAAGCAGTTGGGCAAATAGACTAGAAGGTTATGAATAAGAGCTATGGATAAAAAAGTCAGACTCAAGAAGCCACATAGAGGTGAGATAGGCCCCTTTATAACACAGCACATTATTTTATTAATTCAGATTAACCTTGATCACTCTTCTAAAACATGATAACTAGGTGAAAGAAAGATCTGAGGCAGTTCAGCTTGTAAGATGGGTGTAAGTCTTATAACTCAACAGTGATATTAAAAATAACGCTGCCTGCAAAAACAGACCCATAGACCAATGGAACAGAATCGAGAACTCAGAAGTGGACCCAAAAGTATACAGCCAACTGATCTTTGACAAAGCAGGAAAGAATATCCAATGGAAAAAAGACAGCCTTTTTAACAGATGGTGTTGGGAGAACTGGACAGCAACATGCAGAAGAATGAAACTAGATCATTTTCTCACACCATGCACAAAAATCAACTCAAAATGGATAAAGGACCTGAACGTGAGACAGGAAACTATCAACACCCTAGAGGAGAAAGCAGGAAACAACCTCCTTGACCTCCACCGCAGCAACTTCTTACTTGACACATCCCCAAAAGCAAGGGAATCAAGAGCAAAAATAAACTGTTGGGACCTCATCAAGATTAAAAGCTTCTGCACAGCCAAGGAAACAACCCAGAAAATTAATAGGCAACCAACGGAATGGGAAAAGATAGTTGCAAATGACATATCAGATAAAGGGTTAATATCCAGAATCTATAAGGAACTCACCAAACTACACGCCCGAAAAACAAACAACCCAGTGAAGAAATGGGCAGAAGACATGAACAGACACTTCTCCAAAGAGGACATCCAGATGGCCAACAGACACATGAAACGATGCTCAGCATCCCTCCTCATCAGGGAAATACAAATCAAAACCACACTGAGATACCACCTCACGCCAGTCAGAGTGGCTAAAATGAGCAAATCAGAGAACTCTAGATGCTGGCGAGGATGTGGAGAAACGGGCACCCTCCTACACTGTTGGTGGGAATGTAAACTGGTACAGCCCCTCTGGAAAACAGTGTGGAGGTTCCTCAGGAAACTAACAATAGAACTCCCCTATGACCCAGCAATAGCACTGCTAGGAATTTACCCAAGGGATACAGAAATGCTGAGGCATAGGAGCACATGTACCCCAATGTTCATAGCAGCACTCTCCACAATAGCTAAAACATGGAAAGAGCCTAAGTGTCCATCAACAGATGAATGGATCAAGAAGATGTGGTTTATCTATACCATGGAATACTACATGGCAATGAGAAACAATGAAATCTGGCCATGTGTAGCAACATGGATGGACCTTGAGGGTGTTATGCTGAGCGAAATAAGTCAGGCAGAGAAGGACAAATACCATATGTTTGCACGTATAGGAGGATTAGGAGGAACTTGACGGAGGACCAGGGGGGAGAAGAAGGGGGGAAATGGTGGGGGAAAGGGAGGGAGGCAAGCCATGAGAGACTCTTGAATGCTGACAAAAACTGAGGACTGATGGATGTGGGGGGGAGGGGGGGATGGGCATGAAGGAGGGCACTTTGGGGATGACCACTGAGTGTTATGTAGAACCTAATTTGACAATAAACTATTTGTAAAAAAAATAAATAAATAAAAAAAAAAAAAAAAAAAAAATAACGCTGCCTGGGTATGATCAGTAGCTGTTTGACAAGCAATAAGCAGAGTCGGATGGAACAATCCTTTTCCAGCAAAAGCTACTGAACCTCTTTCTATGTAGATGCATGTTAGGCAAACATATAACTTCAAACAGGTCCCTATCTTAGGTGGGCTTCAAACAGGTCCCTATCTAGAGGCAAAACCTGAAGTGGGGATTATTTGCAAGTGTGATATTAGGGAATGCTCTTAGGAGAGGGAAGGAGATGCAGGATAGGGCAGGGGTAGGAGCCGAGCAAGCATGTGATCCCAGTTGGCTTTTAGCTTCCGTCTGATCTCAAGGGGAACACTAGGGCTCAACTTATACTAGAATTGTCCCATGTTGAAGGTGGGGCCAGGCTTCTCTTAGCAACAGCTGGGAGATGGGCAGCAGCAGGACACTAACAGATCCAGGGTGGTAGCCAAGCTCGTGGGACTAAATCCCCAGGAGCCATGCTATGTGGTAGGAGATGTGGTTCTCACTAAGGACGTGATAACATGGCTATGGGCTCCTCACAGGACCTCAATGACCACTAATGTCCTCATCTGTAAAATGGGAGAGGGGGATGGCAGGGGTGTATTAGATGATTCCCCATAACTCCAAAATGCAATGCTCTAAAATGCAGTTATTTCAACAAGAGAAGTAGGGAGAGGCTCACTAAGGAATAATTGACATTTTTCCTAATCATGGAATGAAGTTAATGAATGTAAATGCATCCCTGAATGACCACTCCATTAAAAACTTTTCTCTCACCTGAAATAGCTCTGTATACACAGGCAAATCTAATAAGACAAGCAGTAAAGTTGCCCTGAAGGCGTATGTTCTAAAAAAGGATAGCAAGGCTCTGTTTTCAAACAAGTACTCTCATGGCAGTTTACCTTAAGGGAGCGCTAATACAACCAGCCAACCTCATTTAACCAACTCCTACATCAAAGCAAATTAGAAGCAAGAGGCTAGAGCGAAGCGTGAGCCACAGGCTGTCCATGCAAAATGGCACAACCTCTACAGAGAGCAGTTTGACAGAATCTATCAGTTATAGATATGTTTACTCTCTGACCACACAGCCCCTTCTCTGGGAATTTATCCTACAGGTAAATGTGTATGAAATGACCCTTATACGAGCTTATTCACTGTGCTACTTTTTCCAAAATAACCCAAAATTGGAAACAATTCAGTGGTCCTTCAATAAAGGACTAGTTAAAAACAACCACTGTGTTACCTTCCATATGATAGAATACTGTACAACTGAGAACATTCCGTATTGATATGGAAAGTTCTCCAGGATACACTGATAAGTGAAAAAGCAAGGGGAATAACAGTATCATTACAGATGAGTTTGTATATTATGAACATATATGCATGTGTAATATAAGTACTCTGCTTTCTGTATGCAAAATTAAGGTAATAAGATTATATATCTGTGTTCAAATGTATCCATAGATATCTGGAAGTTCTTTGTGTATCTGGAAAAAGATGCAAGAACACCTCTGTGAGTGGTTACCTATAATGGATGAGGGAGTGGGGAAAATGTAATGGATGGAGACATAAGTAGAAATTAGAATTCTCACCAAATGCCTTTTTATATAAATTTTCATTCTAAAATTCCCCCCACCTCACCCCCCAACTACCACTGGTTCTTCTCTGAGGAAAATGCAGCAGCTGCTTGATTAAAAATAAAATAAAACATTTAAAAGCAGACATCAATCAAAGCTGGTCATTCCAGTCTCTCTTATTGCATGCTTTAGTTTTCAGAGACTGGCCAGTGGGTAACCATATGACACCCGATGCTGAAATTACTTCCAATCGGAAGAAACTGTGCCAAGTCTAGCTTTAAACCATGAAGTTGTTTATAAAACTGCTGGGACTACAAGCATCAGTGAGCTTTGGGTACTGAAGGGTGTTGTGTTCTTCAAATCAGCTTTTCTGATCACAGATGGGTCATGCACCAAGGAAATGAAGTATGATATTGTAGCAGGCTGCACAATCAGGATAGCATGAACTCTTGGGACAGACAGCCCAGGTTTCGATCTGGGTTTTGTCCCTCACTGCTACATGACCTTCAACAACTTCTCAAATTCTCAGCTTCTTCATCTGTCAAAGGTGGATAGTGACTGTGCCTCCTTCGTAGAGCTGTTTGGAAAGTTACGTATGTTAATGTATGCTGGCAAGAAGTTTAGCACAATACCTGTTGATACTGTCATCTAATATTTTGATTTTTTATGTACAGGGTGATGACCAGTTAAACATATTTGGAGAGGATACCATGGGAGGTAAGTTTCCCTTACTGATCAGACCAAAGTTGTATTTTAATAGCTTTGAACATGTCTTTTCTATTAAACACCAACTAAGAGACAGTAAACTACTGACAGAATGCAGTTTTTCCTTAGCCAGGCTACACAATTAAGATTGGAATTCTTTGGATCTTTCCCCTTTTATCAAGAAACAAAGGGCCACCTCACTTAGATGCATTTCCTTACTACCCAGAGAACATGACCCTTGAAATGCTTAGTGAAAATGGAATGTCCTAGTAAAAATATGTTTGGGAAACATTTAACACTCAATCCCCTTTGGAAGAGACACGTATAACAGCATAGCAAGATTCCTACAAGTCTTGCAGTAAAGACAGCTGGCTAACTTTAACAATCTTCAAATTTATTGGAAGTCTTTTTCCTACATAGTAGTTAAAATACTTCAGCTGTTGGGATACAACCTAAGAAACATCCAAATTATCCTGCTTTGTAACTGTTGTCATGTTAAAAGTCTTGCAAACAACTAGCGAATTCAGCCTTAACTGTCTGAAAAATAGCTAAAATTATGTGAATTTGGGATTGTCCCAAAGAGATAAGGCTCATGATTGCCCCAGGTAAAGTACTTTCTAACATTTCCACTCGGTAATAAATGTTGCTGTAATTATGGTTCATGGAAATATGTTTGTATTGACTGTGAGCAAGTAAGTGATCTGGCTTTCCAGATAGCCCCAGCTCTAATCCTACACTGATCCATGAGCATGAGGTGATAGATAAAGTGTCATTTGATGATAATGGCCATAGCAGTATGTGAAAATCTCAGTCACCAGATGACATCATGGTGATTCATGGGGAAAGGCACATAAACATGAGCCAAGTGCAAATAATCAACTCAGTCCCAACTGGACAGGGATTGATTGATTGCCCAATAAAGTTTCCCTGTTTCCTGGTTATAAAATTAATATGTATTCATAGTGAAAATGTTTTTAAGGTAGAAAGTAAGAACTATAAGAACTACCTCTAAATAATCATGGTTAATATTCTAGTGTATTTCATTCCAGTGGGTTGGCTATATACCATTTTTGATACAGTTGAGAATACATATGTATATACAAATAATTATCTCCATTCTTTTTGTGTATATCATAACATAAGCATGTTCCCAAGTTGTTACAAACGTCCATGACCTTAACTTATAATGACTACACTGCATGAATGTTCTATCATAGGTACAACCATACCCAATAACAACCACAGCCACTTTCCTAAATTGCAAATAGATTAAAAGTTGTTCAGCTTGTATAGAATTGTAGAATCACTATATTGTACACCTGAAACTCATATAACCTTGTGCATTAACTGGACGGGAATTTAAAAAAAGAAACAGTTGTTGCTTAGCTTCATAAAAGGAAGCTGGAAGTCTAGAGAACATGAGATGACCATCTGGTCCATGAGTTAAAAGCACCAATGTATGTGCCTTTAATAGAAAGCTCCAGATAACATAGGATTTTTCCAGTCACTGTGGACTGTTCTGTAGAGACTGCAGCATCTCTTTGATTAGAAAGAACAAAAAAATTTTATTCCTCAGTGTGAAAAACAGATGGTTCCCCAAACCCCAAATTCACATCTTTCCTCTGATTTTAGCTCCCCTCCTGTTTCTGAACCCAATTCTTCATGTCCCATTTTCTCTTCAGAATTGGGCCTTTCCCTCAGATAGTAGTGGATTCCGGCAAAAAGGTAGCATTGTGTATATAAAAGAAGCATCCCAATTTTACTGAAAAGCAAATTGGATCACTGTCAGAGGAGTGATCTCACTTTCAAAAGTACTTATCATCTACATAAAATATGAAGTGTAAGTCAGGGACCTATCCGTTCATTTAAGTGTAAAAACTGCAGTTTTATCACCAAGCTGGGAAATAAAAACTTTGTACTATCTCTCTAGGTAATCACATTCCGCCTGTCATTTTAGTCAGCTCACACCCAGAGTAAGAGCAAAAGCAGCTGCCTTCAGAACCGGGAAAAGACCCTGAACTCCACCTAGACTGGGAGCCCAGGGCTGGCTCCGCCCAGACTGACTCCTCCCTCCTGGGTCTCCCCTCTAGGAGGGGTAGCTCCAGGAACTTCCACAGCCCAGGGTCTGAAATGCACAGCTCAGGAGCCCGGAGTTCCAACAAAACACCAAATACCTTTGAATTCTAGAATCTTCACTTCAAAACTTCACGCATATTTTCCATGAAGTGAAAAATCACAATATTCTACATTTTAATCTATTACTGTCTCTTCGACGTATATTATAGTTTGAAAAGTATCTCCCTTAGCATAAGGGGTGAATTAAGAATGATACAATATTCACAATTTTCTTCAATTACTCCATCTGCAGTCACATCTGCCCAGCTGAGGGAAGCATCCAGTCTCAGATCTGTTTTGTTTACCCAGCATGGTGCTCTAAACACTTGACTTTAAATGTTATGAATGTTAAATGTTATAAACAAGAGTTAGCCATAGTTCATAACATGCCACGCCCACCCTCTTCACTGGCTTGGAATCTCTGCCTGCTCTTTGTCTAGGCACATAAAAGAAACTCTTCTGAAAGTTCTTTTTAGAATCAGCCTTCTGCCACCCACCCACCCACCACCACCCCTGGGGTGTTAAACTAAGCTGCTCAGAAATTAGCCAGTCTTGGGGCAACTGGGTGGCTCAGTCAGTTAAGCATCTGACTTCAGCTCAGGTCATGAGCTCATGGTTCCCTGCATCAGGCTCTATGTTGACAACTCAGAGCCCGGAGCCTGTTTCAGATTCTGTGCCTCCCTCTCTCTCTCTGCCCCTCCCCCCACTCACTCTGCACTCTGTCTCTCTCTCTCAAAAATTAATAAACATTTTAAAAATTAAAAAAAAAATAAGGAAATTAGCCAGTCCAAGGATTCAGTTCTGACCCCCTCTAGAGCCTGCTTCTTTAGCTTTTCACCATCATTTGCTCAAGATGGACTCTAGATTGGAGCCGTACCTCCCTTACTTGCCTATGCAGACTCCCACTGTCAACTGCAGAGCATCCTGAACTAATCTACTTCAGTGCTGGCCTGCCCCCAAACTCTGTGACCCTGCCCTGGCACAGCTCAGCAGGCAGCCTGATCTCTATAACTAAAGCCCGTGGCCTTAACACCAAGGTGAATCTTTGTTTCTGCTCTTCTCTGAAACATTCTAGGGTAGGCCTGCTGTTTCTCCTGTCCTCAGGTCCACCCCCTAAACTTTTTGTTTGTTTGTTGTTTAGCTTGAGGATCCCCTGCTTTCAGGCTCAAGCAATAACCATTGGCACTTTCTGAGGCCAGAGATCCTGAGCTCACAGAGCCATTCCCAATTCAAGTTTGGGGCTGTGGTCACCTTATCCAGTAACCTCACTCTTCCCCAGAGCCTCTTCACATTTTGGGTTACTTTAGAAATCTTAAGCATGCAACAATAATTGCATCATAATTTTGGCCAAGGGACAAACGGGACCATTTCCTCCTGTGGCCCATTTATTTATCAGAACCACAGAATCATAGGTAGTTGAACCAAAAGAAACATTAGAGATCATTGGGTCTGACACCTTTACTCTACAGTTGGAGGAACTGAAGTACAAAGAGAGGAAGTCACTCGCCTAGGTCTAGTCAGTTGAGGATAGGATCAAAATTATAGCTATTGTCTACCCATCCTTCATGGCCAGCTACTACACCCATGACAACTGACAGTCTTTTAGAGCTCCACAAACTCTGGAGGTTTTTGCACTTTGCCAAAAATTCCTAATCATCCCTCTGTTTTAAAGTAGTGGTTCCTGAGGCGCCTGGGTGGCTTAATCGGTTAAGCGTCCGACTTTCACTTAGGTCATGATCTCATGGTTCGTGGGTTCGAGCCCCGCTTCGGGCTCTGTGCTGACTGCCAGCTCAGAGCCTGGAGCCTGTTTCAGTCTGTAACTCCCTCTCTCTCTGACCCTCCCCTGCTCATGCTGTCTCTCTCTCTCCTAGAAATAAATTAAAAAAAAAAAACCATTTAAAGTAGTGGTTCCTCCGTCCTATACAGTTGGGGTGAATGCACACTGGTGCAGCCACTCTCCAAAACAGTATGGTAGTTCCTCAAAAAGCTAAAAATAGAATTACCCTACCAGCAATTGCACTACTAGGTATTTATCCAAAGGATACAAAAATATTGAAATGAAGGGATACCTGCACCCTAATGTTTATAGCTACATTATCAACAATAGCCAAATTATGGAAAGAGCCCAAATGTTCAGCAACTGATGAGTGGATAGAGAAGATATGATAAATACACACACACATACACACACATGCGCACACACATGCACACGCACACAATAGTATATTACTGAGTCATCAAAAAGAATGAAATCTTGCCATTTGCAATGACATCGATGGAGCTGGAATGTATTATGATAAGTGAAATAAGACAAAGAAAGACCAAAATCATGTGTGGAATTTAACAAACAACCATAGGGTAGGAAAGAGAGGCAAACCAAGAAACAGACTCTTAACAATAGAGAACAAACTGCGGGTTTATGGAGGGAAGAGGATGGGGGATGGGCTAGATAAGTGAGGCCACTTACTGTGATGAGCACCAGGTATTGTATCTAAGTGCTGAATCACTAAATTCTACACCTGAAACTAATGTTAAATTGTATGTTAACTAGCAGGAATTTAAATAAAAACTTGAAAAAAAATAAATAAAGTAGTGGTTCCCAAAATTCAGTCCTCACTCTCACCATCTTAGGGATTTTTGTTTCATCTCTATATGACCTATGCTAGATATTATTTACTTAATATCTTTCTCTAAATTGACTCACTATTATTATTTAAACAGATTTATTTTAGAAGGAAATTTTATATCACCATCTTAAATAAAAAATAGTATTATTTTCTGTAAATAGGAACTATATTTAAAATATTGTCTTCCAGATTCCCCACTTGTGCTTAAACCCCTCTTTATTAACAGAGATGAACAAAAGTTAAGAAAAATGTAAAATAACACAAAATTGAGATACTTAAGAACATTTTTAAATGATTTAGAAAATTATCTTTCTTTGTAATTCATGCTATTTAATGGCTTATCAATTTTGCCACCAAAAACTGATAGTTTGTGTTAAAATGAAAATATGTTACCAGGGTCTGGAAATGCTTCTTATCAAATAACACTACAAGATTTTGGTTTTTACACAACATAAGTAAAACCTGTATTTCAAAATATTTTACTTGCCATTAACTTAAATTATTCTTACTTTAAAGGTTTCATGGAAGATTTGAGAAAGTGTAAAATTATTTTCATGATTGGTGAGTAACAGCTCTCAACTTTTCTAAAGCAATTGCTAATAATAAACAACTTAGTAAAGAAAAAAACTGTTCTTTTCTTATTCTGCCCATTTTTCGATTAGGAAATACTCTTGAGGCTTCTCGATTGTTGCTTTCATTTATGCAGTTTTATATTGTTTTTGGCTTTGTATTCTAAAGCATAGACAAAGTAAGACTCTAAGGAATGTCAGACTCCTGATTGTAGCTCTACAGTAATGAAATACCTTATCATCTCATGGGTATGAAGAAGTCATACGTTAAAACCTAACACATACATTTTGTTTGAACAATGAGCTCACTAAATATATCAGCTCACTAAATATATTAGCAACCACATATTCAAATATATTTCAGTAACCATACCCTGCATTCCATTTAGCTAGTGGTAAGAAAAATTTCATTTATTTAATGCCTAATACTGTGAACATCATTGGTAAATTCATTGTGGGATAAAATTCACCAGCATTTTCTAAGCACCAACAGTGTTCCAGGTCATCTCACTCAATCCTTCCTCAATTCTATACGTATCTCTATTAAATATCTATTTTACAGATAAGGACGCTGAGACTCAGAAAGGTAAACACACTGGTCCAAGCCCATGTGGCTAATGACTGTGAGAACTGGATACCCAGTTTTCCCCTTAGAAATCAATGGGACTATTTGAGCAACAGTTATAATTGCACAGAATAGCACCAAATATTGTCAGAACACCTCCCAAAAGTTAGTACTTTTTCCTCTAATTATTCAAGTCTTTAGAAAAGTTAATATACCTACCTTTGCATTTAAAAAAATGTCTATTCATATTCAGAAATAATGAAAAGGTCCACACATCCTCAGTGGGTGGGAAAAAGAATGGTTGTCAGCACCTAAGAAATATAATCATATAAACTTAGACTCCTGCACCCTAAAGTCGGATTGTTTCCTTGGGAATCACTCACTAAGTCTCCCTCATTGTCAGATGAGGAAACTGGGTCCCAGAGAATCTAAGAGATTTGATGAAGGTCATTCAACCAACTGGTGATGGAGAGGAGACTAGGGCTGCAGTTTCCCATCCCAGGGCTCTCCCCACTCCACCACACAGCTGTGTGAGTTGTTACCCTGGACTGTCTCCCACATTCAGTCATCCACCCCGCATGTCCTGAGGACTGGACCCCTGCTGGGCAGTGAGGGGTCGCAGAGCTTCCATCCTAGGTGAAAAGAAGAACTAATCAAATTATTATCACAAACTTAAGAAGGAAACAAAGTAATGAAACAGAACAACCAGGATTGAGTGTCTGGGGTAGAAGTGGGTGATCAGAGTGAACAGGCAAGGCTTCCCTATAGAAGTGATATTTAAGCAAAGAACTGAAGGAGGACACCAGGCAACCGAAGGGATTCATAGAGGTGAGAGGAGGAAGAATTTCAACCAAAGAGAACAGCGTGTCTTAAGCAGTGAGAATCTTGAGCCCAACCTGAGTTCTGTTTCCGACTTGCTTGCCTCTTGTTGACCTTTACCATGGGAACTGGATGAACTCTTGCCACACTTTTTACATTTTTTTCGGAAAGTATAAGTAAATTATTTCTACTCCTTACTGAAGAGAAACTCATCATCCCAATATCAAAGAAAATTCCCCCTTCCACATAAACTTTAACCACTTTTCTTGCATCAAGGTCATACACAATGAAGTATACTTTCTAGTCAGCTTTTCTCTTAGGGGCCAAATTAGAAAGAGGAGAGGCTCTTTAAACCTGATGTTCAGTATCCAAAGAATGAGCCTTTATTATCACATAGAAATCTGTGTCTTGAATAATGTGATCCAAAAACAGCTTCTAAAAATAGTACAGCGTGTTTTGTGATTGTTGTTATTTTCTCTAACAATAATATTATTTCAGATTTACCAGTTGTTTAACATTCACAATTCAATTTTGAAATGTATTTTCCAATATCACTTCTGTCTGTCTAGGTATAACTAAAGACCTTGGCTCATCTAAGTTCTGTGCCCTTGAGAAAATCAAATAGCACAATGTAAAATCTCTGGCATCAGACAAAGCTTGAAACCCCCAACCATCCACAGACTGCAATCTAAAAATTCCTGCTCTGTTAAAGGTTTTTCTTACATTAACCAAACTCTCTCGTATTTTAACTTATTGGTCAGTTACTATTCTATGAAAGATTTCAGGTTACTGTTTAGGCAGTAGAAGGTATAAAAACCACTGTGGTATGAGGAAAAATGGTTGTTCTCCTTCTAGGGTATTTAGGACTCTGCTTGGAAATTAAGACCTTGGTTCTAAACATTTCCTTGACAGATGGCGGAGTGAGATTTGGGGGCTATATTGTTGCAGGTCAATTTGAAGCTCATAAAAATACTTAGGATGTCATAGACACACCCATAACAGTTTTGATGAGTCCTAGGAAACAAGGGTCCATTGATTCCAGTGAAACAAATGTGGTGTTCCCTATAAACCTATATGAAAAGATGAGGTTGAATTTTTCACTTTTCAAATTATTGTATTGACATCTACCAAGACAAGTGGGGTTGGAGTATTAGCCAAAGACTAGGTTGACATTCTTGCTGTTAGTCTGAAGATAAAAATTAATATTCCTAAGGCACTGCTGTCCTATTTCCTTTTTGTCCACAGAAAGGTCCAAACTCCTTAGACTGACCTTCAAAGCCTTCTCCCCACTGGCCTCACTGTGCCTTCCCATCTCCCACTCCAACCCCATGTGAGTCTGTGGCTCCAACCCCACTTCCCTCACTTTTGCCAGTCCTGTGAGTTGAAATGTCTTCTCCCCTAGTTAATCATGCCCCAAAGTCAGGTTTAACTTCTAGCTCCCTGTGACATCTTTAATCGCCAACTTCTTCCTTCTGTGTGTTCCTTCATTGCGTGTGTCTGCATCACTCATTTAGATACCTTGTAATGACTTAGGAAAACAAATTATTTGTTGGGATAATGAATTCTATAAGAAGCAGTGTGGTCAGTTTCCATAACAACTGAAATAGCAGTTGGAATTCTTGGACTGGAACTGACAGGCAGGTTGCTGCTGCTGTAGCTGTTTCTGGCAGGACAGTTTTCTGGTTAATTATGAGCCTCATCGACACCCCTGACTCCACTGTAGCTCCTACCTTCTCACCCAGAACAAACAACACCAACTTCCCTCACCTCCGAGCAATTTCTTATTCATTTGCAAAATAGTGTTCAGTCGGGGGCAGTGACGGACCGCCATCTGAGTGGAAAACATATTCAGGGAACGTGCACTGTCTGGACCAAAAGGAAAAGTGGCGAGGATGGATCTAGCTAGCCCTTTGAATGTTGAGTGAATATTACCTTTGCTCATGAGGAAGACAGCTCAGTAGCTGTTCATAAAGAAATACCTTCCACAGGGCAGATAAGGGATCTCAAAGGGTCAGGACAGTGATCAGAAGGATTAAAAAAGGTTCTCTGGACTTTAGTAGTTTACACACAAGACATAAAAACCATGCCAATGTACATTATGTATAAGACTGGGGCTCAGTCATTGCTGAAAATGGAAAATTAGTTGGATACTATAAAAAATATCCCTTAAAGAGCCTCATTATGTCTCGCTAACAGACTCTTACAGTTTTCACAACCTTTTTGGTACATTTCTTTCCTTTCTCTCTCTCTTTTTTTTTCCTCTCTTTCTCTCTTTTTTTATTCTCTTGATCATCGTCATGCTATTATCCAATCTATTTTGGCCTCTTTTTCCCTTCTATGCTTTTCATAGCCTGCCTATGCCCAGAATTTGTCACAACCTGAATTCCCATCAGTTCCTATCTTAGCCTTGGTAGAAGTGCTTCAATTTGGAAAATCATCTGGTTTTGCAGGCGAGATGTGATACTAATGGCATAATGGTCAAGACATCATTCTGTGGCTTTAACTTTCAGGATGTCGAGGACACAGATGGCTTTGTGTACCTTAGCATTAGTACTGACAAACTGCTTTTCAAGTGGTAAGCTTTGGGAGCCACTATTATAGTATTTTGTGTTATTTTGTATATTTTTAACCCTGTGCAAACTAGTTATCTTTATGTTTTTATGGAAAACTGTAAAAATAAGAATTTTTGCTTAAAACTCAATATTTTAATGCCTGTCATTATTTCACTATAGTCCTGATGTCATTTCATTGTTGTCCTGTTATCAAAGAACTATGAATTAATTTAATCTTTAGAAAATACTTACTTGGACCCAGATTCAACAGTTTTCATATTTATGCACGTATTTGGTTAAATTAAAAATGGAAAACAAAACTGATTGCTTTAATTCCACGTAGCTGTAAGAAAAGCCAGCATTCAATGAGCACTTAACACACACTAGGCATTGTATAAATAATGTTATCTTATTTGATGATCATATCCCCATCCTGACTTTTCAGGTAAGATGCTAGAAAGGTAAATAGTTTGCTAATAAGTGATGGATCTGGAGCTTGAAACCTTGGGTTTTATCACTGGCAACAAATGCTGCCAATTGCTGGCCTTGAAGTGACAGGTTGATTTTATTTCTTTTCAAGAAAATGTCTGCCAGATACTCAAGTCTGAAAACCCATAGTTTATCTGCTAGTCCATCTTCCAGAAGGTAAAAAATGGTGTTTAGCTAAAAAAAAAAAAAGCAAGTAGTTAAGCAACTCAAACAATCACAGTGTTTTTCCTCGAGAAAACTATTAGCCTAGGTGTGCTAAAGTGCCTTGTGTAAACCTCACACAAAATATTAAAATGGCATGTGCTTAAGGGCTGAAATGAGATGAAATGAATCTTTTATACTGCTTCATCAAGGGCACTCTTAAGTAACACTGGCATTTTTCTTCTTTTTGCTTTACTGTGAATTCATGGTGATGAATATAGATCTAGTAGAATTGAATGCAGCTGTCTGGATGCATGCTGTGGTTCTGTAACAATCGCTTCTGTACCATTAGTGAAAAGCAATAGCTTCTAAGTGTTGTAATGAAAATAAGGGACCACCCAAAATATACAAAAACACTAATTCAAAGAGATACATGCACCCTATATTTATTGCAGCGTTATTTACAATAGCTAAATTATGGAAGCAGCCCAAGTGTCCATCAATAGATGAATGGATAAAGAAGAAGTGCTGTAGGGGCACCTACGTGACATAGTTGGCTAAGCCTCTGACTCTTGATTTTGGCTCAGGTCATGATCACAGAGTCATGGGTTGAGCCCCACATCTGGCTCTATGCTGAGTGGGGACCCTGCTTAAGATTCTGTCTCTCTCTCCCTCTGCCCCTCTCCCCCGCTCGAACCCTCTCTCTCTGATAAAAAATAAAAAAGAAGTTGTAGTGTATATATACTAGCACACATATACACACACACCATGGAATATTATTCAGCCATAAAAAAGAGTGAAATCTTGCTATTTGCAACAACATGGATGGAGCTAGAGAGTATTATGCTAAGCGATATAAGTTAGAGAAAGACAAGTATCATATGATTTCAGTCATCTGTGGAATTTAAGAAACAAAACAAATGAGCAAATGAAAAAAGAGAGAAACCAACAAACAGACTCTAACTATAGAGGACAAACTGATGGTGACCAGAGGGGAGGTGGGTGGGAGGATGAATGAAATAGGTGATGGGGATTAAGGAGGGTACTTGTTGGGGAGATCACTAGGTGTTGTATGAGAATGTTGAATCACTATATTGCATACCTGAAACTAATATTACACTGTATGTTAATTATACTTGAATTAAAATTTTTTAAAAAAAGAAAATAGAGGACACCCCCCCCCCTCACACACACACACACAACATCTATGAACCACACTTTGGGAACTACCACAATAGGACTAACTGAGGTAGGGGTTATGTTAAGCAGGTATATGAAACCCTCGACTTAGCATTTGGAAAATCTTAGAGGAGAAAATAGCGTTTTGTGCCTTGTATTTTCACTAGCCTTTCAAAAGCAAATAACGTCACAAATGTGAGCAAGGGGTCTGGGATAAAGGGACACATCTACAGAAAGCTCATTTCTCTGGGCTGCTGTGGGCCTGGAAAAGTTCTAAATGTTTCTGTGTAGCCAGTATATGAGGGATGCCTGAAAGGAAAGCCTGGGTGCTAGTCAGAGGTGGGCAAAGGGGAATGTGTCAGGAGGACCCACAGGAGACTCCAAAGCAGGGCCTGGGTGGAGGTGGAGAGGGTGACTTCTAGGATCAACAACAGTGACCTGGAGGAAAGGGTGAAGAAAACCCTCCAGGTGGGAGACTATCCCTGACATTGGAGACTGAACCTTGAACTTGAATTAGTCCCATCAGGCCACTATGACAAAATACCAAAGCTCAGTGGCTTATAAACAACAGAAACTCATTTTTCACAGTCCTGGAGGCTGGGAAGTCCAAGACCAAGGCCCTGGCAGAATTAATGTCTGATGAAGGCCTGCATCCTGACTCATAGACAGCTATCTTTCCCTTGTAACCTCACATGGTGGAAGGGGTGAAGGAGCTCTCTGGGGCCTCTTTTAAAAGGCCACTAACCCTGTTCATAAGGGCTCCACCCTTGTGATTTAATCACCTTCCAAAGTCTCACCTCTTAATACCATCACATTGGGCTGTAGGATTTAACATGGGTTTGGAGGGAACACCAACATTCAGTCTATAGCAGAAAATGGACTATGATGCTTATCAGAAGTCATTAGATTAGACTAAGAAAACTCAGATGAGACTTGACTGCATTTCTGCTATAAAATGAAAATGGTAGCTCACCAGCTAGGCTAGGTTCACATAATGAAATATGTTTCCGTCTGACCGCCCAGCCTGTGGTCTGCCCTAACTGAAATATCATCTCTGCTTTGGACACAGACACAAGATTGTCACAGCTCTTTCTCCCATGGGGCCATGCAGTTATTAGGGGCCCTTTTGGCATTCTCCTGGCCTAAAACCTATATTTTCAAATCCCAGGCCATTCAGGATGGGAGAATAAACGAAGAGAGACATTGGGCCACTTTCCAAGAGAGCCTCAAATGCATTTACAAGCCAATGGGATATCTTTCTGATGTTGGAGAAATGCAGGCATTGTGTGCTGACAATGAACCTACTTAATTACATAAACCTTTTCATTGAAGAAATGCTCTAAGTAATGTTGAACTAGAACAGAACATTTTCATTTAATCAGACCAAATTAATAAATCTCTACAAAGGGCTTACTATGCTTAAAGGACTATGGGATTCAAAAAGACATTAAACTGTCCTTGGAATACTGCATGGCATAGCAGAAGCCCAGGGATTTTTCCATATTTTTTTTTTAATGATTTCCTCAAGAAAGGAATGTTGCTGAGTCAATTCAGTCATCTAGATGGGCCAATTACTGCTAAAAGGAAAAGCACCCAGGTAAATGAGTTTTACCAAGGAAAGTGTTTAGAGACCTCATACCATCATACACATTATCTCCCTACCCATTTCTTGAAATCTTTATGGAAGCACCATTAACTTACCCACAGAGTCACCTGGTGAAGATTGAGTTACTCAACCTGTTCACTCAAAGCCACATCTCCAGGTCTGACTCACTGAAAGCTTCTTTTGCTTGTTCTGAGACCCACTAAGCATGACCAATGCTACCAACTCTAGAAGGACCCAGCACTGGAAATGAGAGAACACCCAAAACCTTGTGTTTATAGCTTGGGCCAATCCCTTAGCCTCTCTGAATTTCTTTTAAAATGGCAAAATGAGATATGTTTTATTTTCACCCCAAATTTGAGCAGCCAATGAGCTGATATGTTGCTAAGTGTTCTCTTAATTGGAAGCATGTGCAACAGAGAGACATAGCCCCAAGGAAGTGAAGTGTGATGGCAACAGGAAAAGTCACAGTCTTCATCTTCTACCCCCCAAATATTTATTTTAATTACCTAAGAATGGTATTAAAACTAACATATACTGTTGACTTACTATGTTCTAGGTACTGTGCTGCCTTTTTACATTTAGTTCTCACACCAATCATCAGTACTTGTATTTTGGCCCATTTTACAGGTGAAGAAGTAGCAGCTTAGAAGGTTAAGGAACTTTCCCAAGGTTACACCGTTAAGAAGTAGGACTCACACCCCAGTTTCTCAGACTTCAAAGCCCACAATCTAAAAGTGTCTATAGATATGTAGTAAGGAGGGGAGGTGGGAGTATTGTGGGTGGGGGAAGAGTTTGCCATAATTATTTGAATAAATGCCCCAATTTTCTATTTTACGTTGTTCCTGTATATCTAGTTATTGATGTCTGAAAGCAAAGACAAAGTAATAAGACATCAAATGAATATCGGTGAAACAGACCTCTGAGTGCCTCAACATGTTTCCACCAATTATTCGCAATTCCATAATAACTTCAAAACAGGAAACAATTGAAACCATAAAGGTATCTGAACCATTCTGAACACCGCGCCACCCACCCAAAGCGCATCAATTTTGGAATACACACTGCATCTTTACTGAGAATGCATATTGTGGATATCTTTTTTATGAGCACTACCAAAAGTATTTCAGAGAGCCAAGGGCAACAATGAGCAAGTGTTTGAGAATGTGATTCTGGGTGCTTCCAAGATTTTCTTTGTGGGTTGGGTAGAGTACCTAGACCACTTATTGATCTCAAACAATGACTTTGTTTAGAGGTGGAGGGGAACAAAAGCCTAGGCCAGGGGGTCTACAGCCTTCCAGAGGGCTGTATATAATCCCCGAATGATAAAAATATTCTCTCACTGCTATATTAAATTTTCCCATTAGCTATATACTCCTTTGGGTGATTTTCATTAATTCATTTGATACTCTTATTGAGTTTCTGCTATATGTCAGCAAAAAGGGATGAAAGATGAGGCTCCCTAATCTCATAGAGCTCATGTTGTAGGGAGGGAGCAAACAAACAGCACAGTTTAGTACAGTACATGCAATGGCAGCAACACGGGTAATGGAGAGAAAGACTGAAGTGGGCATGTGGGAGCAGAAGCAGATGTCAGAGCTGAGTCCTGAGAAGGAAAAGGAACTGGCCATGTGCTAAGTGGAAAGAAAGTTGGAGTCCATGGCAAGGAGAGGGAACAAGTGGGCAAGAGAGAGCGTCAGAGGCAAGGGGGCAGGAAGCAGTGACTGGCAGAGCTGGAAACAGATGCAGGGCCCAAAGCATGAAAAGCTGAGAACACCAGGCTAACAAAATAAACTTCATCCTGCAGCAATGGGGAGCTGTCAAGGCTTTTATTCTGTCACATGTCACCAGATTTGGATTTCAGAAAGTGCTCTCTGGAAGCATTGAGAGGAAGCCTAGACTGCAGCAGGGAGGCCAACTAGGAGGTCAGATGGATGGTCATGCAGGTGAGGCACAAGGAGTCCGTTGAAGTGGAAAAGAAGAAATAGATCCAAAAGATCTTAGGAAATAGAATCAACAGGACATAAAGATCCATTGTGTTCAGGTAAACGAAAAGAGAACTAGCATGACTCCTAAGTGGCCAGTTTAGAGGCTCCTGGGTGGATCAGTTGGTTAAGTGTCCGACTTTGGCTCAGGTCATGATCTCAGGGCTCATGTATTTGAGCCCAGCGTCAGGCTCTGTGCTGACAGCTCAGAGCCTAGAGCCTGCTTCAGATTCTGTGTCTCATCTTCTCTCTCTACCCCTCCCCCCACTCATGCTCTGTCTCTCTTTCTCTCTCAAAAATAAATAAACATTAAAAAATTTTTTTAAAGAAGTGTCTAGTTTAGATGACCAGGTGAACATAGGTGTCATTCAAGGAGATAAGGAATGTGGAGAATAAATGGGTTTTGAGAGAGTGATGAAATGTGTTTTACACATTTTAAGACTGAAATGCTAAAAAAAAAAAAAATTGAGATGCTAATGAGACATCCATCAGTTAATGTCCATTAAACAAGAGGCTTTTGAAATCTAGTACTCAAAATAACAAGTTGTGGCTGTAGACACAGATGTAGAATTCACCAGGGTATCAGTGGCAGTGAAACCACACATGTGCAAGGGATCACCCAGGGAGCTTAGGGACAGGGAGACTAGAGGAAGGCTGAGACCAGGAGTCTAGGAAACACCTGCACCAGAGCCAGAGGAAGAGAGAACAGCAAGGAAAGCAGAACATCAAGAGCAAATGGTGTCACAGAAAGCAAGGGAGGAGAGAGTTTCCATGTCAGAAAAGTTAAATAAAATGCAATGAGAATTGTGTGTTGCATTTGGCAACCGCAGAATTACTGGTGACTTTGGTGAGAGCAGTTCCAGTGGAACAGAAAGGAGTAAAGCCAGCTGGCTGAGGGGCAAATGTGAAGTAAGGAAATGAGGATGCATATAGACTACACTTGCAAGAAACTTGACTCTGAGAGAAAGCAAAGACTTAAGGCGGTAACTAAAGGAAAGAAGGTCAAAAGTAGATATGAGAGAGTCAAGCATACTTGTATAAAGAGAGAGGCAGTAAACCATCTAGTTAAGAGCGTGACCTACTTGAGTTCACATGCCAGACCCCTCTGACCTTGGGCAACATCCTCATATCCACTCTTCCTCAGTTTTCTCACCTGTAATGTGGAAAAAATGATTTTATCTAGGTCATAGTGTTGATGTGAGGATGAAATAAGTTAACACATGTCACAGCACTCCTAATAAATATTCAATGACCATTAGCTATTACTACAACTATTATATGGTGAATGAGGAGAGACAGCCAAAAAGAAAGAGAGGATCCTGAGAAAGGCATTGGGGGAGGTGGGGAGGGGAGAATAGCTATGATGGGATCAGAAGTGAATTGGAATGAGGAAAGGATACCTACAAGATGGGGGATGCATGACAGGTTAAAAGGTTGGGTGTTCATCTATCTGCTTCATATCATTTGTTGAAATTACACATCCCCTGAGGGACTGACATGTTAAGCAGTGTTTTACCTGAGCAACTGTGGTTAGCTGGGATCAGAGCAAGTTGAAGTGGAAAAGTATCTTCTAGGCCTTGGGCTTACATCTGCCTTTTGGCTGCCGTTTCCTCTTGTAGACACATTCTTGCAGTTGTTTACAATACAACAAAGATTTTACTGTAGGAGGCTGTATTTAGCCTTGAGGCATAAAGCAGAATAACAAGCCAGTGATTAAGGGGACAATAACTGTTTCTGCTTCTCCAAATGTAACATTCTCAAAGTATTGCCCTCTCATTTTGAGCTAGACTCCAGAACCAAGAGTCTCAGAGCATCTTTATAGTTGTAAATGAAACATATTTAAACCAACCATTAGGTGGCCATGGCAATGAAAGATTCCCTCCTCTTATAACTGGGTGGAGCTTTTTTGTGTTAACAGGACATAGTCCTGTGACCCCGTTGATTTTTTTTTTTTTTTCATATTGTCTGGGGCACTGACTCTGAAGGCAGTGTTCCTTATGGTTCTACTATGCTTTGAGGAATGCCTTCTACCAGAAAGAGGATCACCATGTCAGTGCCACACACCTGCCCATCCACACCAGTCAAATGACCTCAGTTTAAAGTGGAAGCTACTTACTTGGTCCAATTACATATTTTCCTGCATGCACTAACTCTTATAGTAAAAGCATGGAAAGCTGGTGTGGACAGAGCCCCAAGCAGAACACAGTCTTATTTTTCTTGGAAATCCTCAACTTGGTCTGGGTGGACCTGTTGAGGCAAGCTCTGAGACAGCCTCTCATTGCAACATTTGTTGTTGAAAGAGGAAGAGAATACTAACAAGTAAGAAACCTGGCTGAGCCCAGGCAAAAAAAGTCTCCTAGAGTCTACTCCTGGAGACCCCTTCCACTGACCACTTGCTTAAAGACAGTGATGGCCATTGACTGGAGAATAGTTTTTACCAAATTTCCTAGAAGACAGAGATCATGCCCTTTCTTTTTCTTTTCTTTCTTTCTTTTTTTTTTTTTCTTCATCTCTCTACAGTACCTATGGGATACCTGGCACTTAGTAGGCATTTGGTACATATCATTAGAAAAAATTAATGAATGCATTGAAATGGAATGGAAGATATAAAGACTTCATTGTCAGAAGTAAATGTATTAACTTGTCTTCTACCAGTAACCATCTCAGAGTCATAATGATAAGAGCAGAGGTTTCAAGTAAAACTAGAGGACTTGGCCATTTTTAAGAACCAACCATAACTAAGAGACTCTTCCACTGGATGGGTCCTGAAGAATAAATATGGAGTCTTTATAAAGTCTTACTGGCCCCTTCCCACAAAAACAAAATAAAAAAATTTATGCCTTTGGTAAATTTTGCTGAGTAGGGTAGCATATGGCTTCCATATCAGAATCAAGTTCCAGTCCAGCACTACGTAACTGGCATAGATGCCAGAAAACAAAATACAAAACAAATAACTAGCAAATAATTGACTTTGATCGTACTGATTCTGAGTTTTACCATCATTCAAAGAAGGGAATATAGAATAGAGTTGATTGTTAAACTGTCATTGAAGATGCCAAGAAAAGGAGGGGTTTTGTTTTAAAATTTTTAATGTTCCCACCCCTCAAGGGGCTTATAATTTATTTGATGAAGAAGAATTGATGCTTATAAAAACCTTAGAACTAATACAGGACAGTGTACAGTTAACTGACAAAGGAACTATTTAGTGAGTGTTAGTAGGAATTTTAAGACAAAGAAAGCACAATGGCTGAATGGATGGGAGCCACCTCCTGGGGTAGCTGAGAACCAAGGTGAGCCTCAGAGAGTGGATGGTATCTCCTAGGCTTGAGAGAAGGCTGAAGAGAGAGGGATTCCAAGAAGGGGACTTTAAGTAGGGAACAAATTACGGTAGTAGGAATATGCCCTCCATGGCCCAGGAACAGGAAGAAGATGGACTAAATTATGAAAGCCCCGGATGCTGAGAAATAATGTGACATTGACCAAGGATGAGTCCAAGGCTGGTGAACAGGCAGGAAGTGCCAGAAGGGAAAAAACTGCCCTTAATTAACTTGCTCTACTTTTATCATTTCCCATTCCCTCATTTCTGTTTGGACACACACAGCCAAAATCTCTCCTAAAACAGATTACCAGATTTTTTTTTTTAATTTAAGGATTGTTTTTATAAAAAATAATATATCTGTATTCTAGAAAACATGTATTAACAACAACAAATCACCCAAAATCCCAAAGCTTAGCAATGATTTTTATTAAGATTTTGATTTATAACCCTCTTAATGTTTTCTATGTATATATTTTTTAAATATATATTTTTCATCAAAATGAGATCATGCAACCCTAAAATGTACTTTTTATACTTAACAAAATATCTTAAAAAAATTTTTTTTAATGTTTTTTATTTATTTCCGAGAGAGAGAGAGAGAGACAGTGTGATCAGGGGAGGGTCAGAAGGAAAGGGAGACACAGAATCCGAAATAGGCTCCAGGCTCTGAGCTAGCTGTCAGCACAGAGCCCGGCGTGGGGCTCGAACCCACAAACTGTGAGATCTTGACCTGAGCCGAAGTCAGACGCTTAACTGACTGAGCCACTCAGGTACCCCATATACTTAACAAAATATCTTAAGGGCCTTTCCAAGATTGTAAAACTGAATATATAATATCTTGTTTTAAAGTTTTCTTGCAATTGAACTGAAACAGAAAATCAGGAAAGCACTCAAATCATGAGTGTTTAGCTTGATAAGTTTTCCCTAAGTGGACACATTCATCTTACTGCATGTAAATCAAGAAATCAAACATTACTAACATTCCAGAATTCTCCTTGTACCCCCTTCTATTCACTGCCTTCTATGAGGAATACCATAGATATTTCTGAACTTTATATAAATGGAATCATTATGTATGTGCTTGTTTGTATCTGTCTTCTTTCAATACATCATTTTAATGACCACACACTATTTTTTTGAATCATTATAATTTATTCAGTTTATTCCTTTTGTCATGCATTTTCCCCCAATTTATTACTTTAACTAAAAATTCTGTAATGAATATTTATGTAACTAAACTGATTTTTCCCCTTACAATAAATCCACTGAAATAAAAAACTTTAAGACTTTGACTTATATTACCAGCTTGCCCTTCAGAAAGATTATACCAATTTTATATTCCCATCACAGCATATGAGACTTCCAATTTCCCTGGTGTGGCCCCAAATTGAACACAAAACCCCAAATGTAATCCAACTAACATCTACCACAAACGTTGCTACTGGTCTTAAACATCCTCACTTCCTTTTATAGTACACAAATAGAACTCCAAGTACAAATACTCTCCTAGTTCTCTGACAAAGACAAAAACATGGAATGGTAGTGCTAGAAATGACCTTGGAATTTACCTAGTCCAACAAGCTTATTTTCAGATGAGAATACAGAAACCCAAAGAGGAGAAATGTCAGTGGAGACAGATTCCCAGTGAAAACTGAACCAGAAAACCATGAGTAGATAAAAAGCTGCAAAGAAATAAAACAAAATGTATTCCTGGCAGTTACCTTTGGGGAAGTAGGATTATGGGAGACTCTTCTTTTACTTTTCTGAATTGTTTAAATCTTCAGTAAAGAGCATGTATTTTTTTGACAGAGAAAAACTGTTTTCTTTAAAAGAAGGAACACATAGAAAGGAAAGGCTAAGTTTGTAAATTGCCTACTGTATTCATTTAATGCATGCCTAAGATCATAGTGTGATGTGGACTACAAAACAGGAAAAACAGTGGCTTGATAAGTTTAAGATGAACTTGGAAGAGGCAGAGTACATGAATTCTAGAACATGAATTCTCAGAGTTTAGAGACCTAAATAAGAAAGTCCTGACTGAAACAGCTTTTGGAAGGCTCTAGTTTATAAGCTTGGTGAGTCAGGTCTGCAACAGGCCCTAGAGACCTCTGGGTGAAGAAAAAAAGGACAGGTTTTTTAATAGGATTTTCTCATGAGCAGTTTGGAAATCCTGTCTCTGTCTTTGTTTGGAGGTGGAGTTAGACTGGATATGAGGCTTGGATGGAGATGGAGGTAGTATGGAGATGGGGCTGGGATGAAGATGGGGCTGGGATGGAAATGGGGTAGAATGGAGATGGGGTAGGATAGAGATGGGGCTGGCATGGAGATGGAGCTGGGATGGAGATGGGGGTGGGATGGAGATGGAGGTGGGACAGAGGTGGGGCTGGGACAGAGGTGGGATGGAGTGGAGATGGGGGTGGGTTGGAGATGGAGGTAGTATGGAGATGGGGTAGGATAGAGATGGGGCTGGAATGGAGATGGGGTGGGATGAAGATGGGGGTGGGATAGAGATGGGGGTGGAATGGAGATGGGGCTGGCATGGAGATGGGGATGGGATGGAGATGGGGCTGGGATGGAGGTGGGATGGAATGGAGATGGGCTAAGCATGGGGATGTGGTTGGCATGGGGATGGGATTATACTGGTAATAAATTTAGGATGGAAATTGGTTTGTACTAAGAGCTATAGGAGTTCACAGCATCCTGTGGTGAAAACTTTAAGAATCACTACCTTGGGAGCCCCGGGTCAGGCTCTGTGCTGACAGCCTGCTCAGAGCCTGGAGACTGCTTCAGATTCTATGTCTCCTTCTCTCTCTGCCCCTTCTCTGCTCATGCTCTGTCTCCCTCTCTCTAAGAAATAAATAAAACATAATTTTTTTTTAATTCAAGTTTAGCTAGTTGTTTTGTATTTTTATTTGTTAAAACTAGCAGCCCTACCCACTCCCACTATTTATTAACCTGGAGACTTTAGAGACATGATTTCACCTCTGTTGTGACAACTCCAATAGTCAATAATTCTGCCATTCACAGAATTTACCACAGGCACAGAAAGATATGTGAAATGTTTAGTTAACACAAGACTCTGAAATTGGATGCCATGACTCTAGCCCTTACATAGAGACAAGATGAGGAAGGTTCTGGTCTTGGGTAAGAGGAAATGGCATGCACCAAGGTAGTGATTCTTTTTTTAAAAATTTTTTAAATGTTTTATTTATTTCTGAGAGAGAGAGAGACAGTGTGAGCAGGAGAGGGTCAGAGAGAGAGGGAGACACAGAATCTGAAGCAGGCTCCAGGCTCTGAGCTGTCAGCACAGAGCCCAACGTGGGGCTCGAATCCACAAACCATGAGATCAAGACC